TACGTTTCAGATGGTTGGAATATCGAACTGAAACCTTAGAGAACTTTTAGAGGGAAATTAACAGGAGATAACTGATAACTGACATCCATTAGACATGGCACATGGAACTAGAACAGTCTACCCCAGTGAGCGAAATAAAGGGTTAAGTTCGACATTCCAACTAGCTGAAAAAGGCCGGAGCGTACAACGACCGAAACTTTGTAATATGGTGACAAAGATGAGGACAATAGTCCAAATAATGTAAATAATGTTTAAGTGTTTTATTCAAAGCTTAATTATCACTCTCTCTGATTAACGTATTATTATTATTATTATTATTATTATTATTATTATTATTATTATTATTTCTGTTGTATAATCATTTATTACCTGCTCCCAAATATTGACCTATGTTCAGAAATGGCTTCCTGGCATTTCCACTGTGTATTTATTGAAAATAAGAACCTAAGATCACATACATTTTATATAGATAAAGCTCATCTCAATCTGTGAGCTCTACTTGGAAGTAGATATTTTTGGATTTCTTTTAGGAATGGGCTACCAGGAATCCGTTTAGTGAGTCTATCAGAACATTTTCCAGTCAATCCGAAAACTCCAACTAAAACTGAAATCATTGATGTTCTCATCTGCTACATTTTTGATATTTCCACAAGATGCCTCTATTTTTTATCTTCAAAGATACATTATTGTCTGTAGGAATTGTCAGTAAGAAGACATATTCTGTTTTTGTGGTCTCTGATTACAATGTCTGGTCGATTAGTTTTTATTGTTTTGTCTGTGTGCATTGTAAAGTCCCATAAAATTGTTACAGGTCCTATGACTGCAACCGGGTTTGTGTGGTGTTCTATAAATTTCTTGAGTGTCCTTTCTGTAAAATAATATTTTCCAATGCAGATAATGTCCTCACTTTCATGCCGGGTTTTATTATTATTACTCCATTTCCTTTGATTTCTAGTGTATACTCATTTCTATCCGGGTTCAAACCAGAGTCCTAAGCATTTTCCGAGGGAATAAAACACTAAGATCACACGCATTCTTCTTCTTATTATTATTCTTATTCTTATTCTTCTTATTATTATTCTTCTTATTCTTATTCTTATTCTTATTATTATTCTTATTCTTATTCTTCTTATTATTATTATTTCTGCTATGGTCACACTATTTTACCAAGTATGCGGGAAGACATACATCACCAGAGCAACGGCTAGGAATAATGGCGGTGTTGAAGCAGCTCGTTCGGTGTTGTCAGCTTTATGAATTTAAGGTGGGCTTGTCTGCAGCCGCACCAAGTCGCCGAATACCTGAAGCTTTTGGGTGATAATCCTGTGATTGAACGTACCGCCAGGTGTTGGTTTCAGAAGTTCAAGTCGGATGATTTGTCCGCAGTGGCCGGCAACATGTCCTTGATGACGAGGCCCAGAAGCCGTCCTTAGAGGTGTTCAACAGCCAAACCTGTGGTGGGCTTGCCGGACGATTCCACTAATAATTCGCCTGCATCACATAGGGAAGGCGTACTAGTTCATCAAGTGGGTACCCCAAACACTGTCGGAGGCCAAAAAGCAATTACGAGTGACAACCTGTTTCCCGGTGCTTTCTCGTCACCTCAGCGTACTCATATTCGATCCAGCGCTCGCCAGTGAGTCATACATGATACTCCCAAGCATGGCAGTCATTGGTTGTCACCACAGAACACTGTGCCTCACACCACAAGACTACGTTTACACCCACGGAAGATCAAACTCTGGTGCACTAGTGGTGCCGTATTAACTGCTATCAACGATCGAAACCTTCACTGTGGATCTGTGGTTTCAGCAATTGGAACGTGTACAACAGGCAATGAATCAGAAAGAGTAAACATTGTTTAATCGCGGGTGAATATTGTTGCTCTATGACAATGCCAGGCCTCATGTGACGTGGGTCTCCAGCGATACGATACGGTGACTTGGTTCTGAAACACTGTGCCGTCCACCTTACTCCTCGGGCTTTCCGCCCACAGATTCCCACCTTTTCTATTCACTGGACAACCATATTAGTGAGAAATCATTAGGAATGAGGCAGTCATTCACTAATTTGTTTTCGTTCAAGATACTCAAATTTACTGCCAGGGTATTATGCAGATTGAGGTGAGTTCGGAAATGGTTCTGGATCCCGATGGAGATTACTTTGAGGTCAAAGCCTATATCAAATTTGCTGTAAGTTTTTTTTTCTCAATAAATAAAAACACAGTTAAGATTATATATTATTTACCTTGTAGTAAATTGTCTGTAGGAATTGTCAGTAAGAAGACATATTCTGTTTTTGTAGTCTCTGATCACGATGTTTGGTCGATTAGCTTTTATTGTTTTTTGTGCATTGTAAAGTCCCATAAAATTACAAGTCCTATGACTGCAACCGGGTCTGGGTGGAGTTCATACAAATTTCTTGAGTGTCCTTTCTGTAAAAGTTGCATATTTTCTAATGCAGATAATGTCGTCAATTTCATGTCGGGTTTTATTATTTT